CCTCAAATTCCCACCCGGCCCATTTGGGCCGTTCCCACCCATAACTGGATGCTCAGACACTGAAGATGCCCGGCAGTAAATGGTTGGGGTGGTTGCCTGTGGTATCATCAAAAAAGAATTTCCGGTTGCACCGAGTTCTAATACAAAACACACAAGAAGTCGCTTCACGCGATATACGCCGCCACCCACAAACCCGGGTGTGAGGTGGCGCCATCTTAGCATGGACTATCGGCCACGGCGCAAGAAGACGCCCTAAACCCTGAACCCTAAACCATAAACCCTAAACACATTGGGCATACATCGGACAAATACACAAACATACACATATACACATGCATGTACACACACACACACCTATATATATATATATACACATTTAACTATTTGTTTCTTTACATACCTACACACATACCCAAATTCATCCATATATATATATATATACATACATACATACGGTTATTTACACACACACACATCCGTACACATGTGTGGGCGTACATGATATCATGTGCGCTGCGATACTCGGACACGAACTATAGAATCCAAGCACCCTGCCTCAATGTCCAGTCGTACGAGAGGTCCTCGGCAGCAGTTGTGCTTGTGGATCTGCCGACGCACATCGTACACAGCACTGTTGAAGCTGATCTCTGCTTCGGGTAAACAAGACTGGCCCGAAGAGGCTGCAGTGCGGCCACAGCAGTTCTTGGCGTGCCCAGCGCTGAAGCCATCCCAAATTTCTTAAGACCCCTGAAGCACCAAACGCGTGCTGACTATGTGGGCCAGATTTCCAGGTGCTTCGTTGCAACCACCACCTTCATCTCCAGGCGCAAGATCACCTTCCGGAAGTTCTCGGCCCTCGAGTGGCTAGAAGTCCACTGGATGAAGTGGTCCCGCAGCAAGGGTCCTCTCCAGATGCTGACACATTGTGGAGCGTGTAAACCAGCATGAAACCGAGAAACACATCCCCCTAACTGGCTGGAGTCTGCTCTGCCTGCAAAGTCATCTAGGCCATAGCGGCGTCCGATCTGGTCCCGGGGCGTGTTTTCCACCAAACGCCGCCTTTGCACACGGGTGACTGCGGGATATGGCACCAGGCCCCCCAAGCCGACCTCTTCCCGAGTAGCTCAGCGCTCTTTGCTGCTCAGGTGAGCTAAACCAAATCCAAGCCCTGAGCTTGGCCCGGCACATTCCCTCCATCCATCCTTTTCCGCAAACGAATTCGAACTCAAGCATCTCCTGGAAGTATCAAGTAGGCTTCGCTCTACTCACAACGCACAACGCACAACAAGGCCCAAGCCGAGCGCAAAGGTTTAGGGCTTTAGAGTTCAGGGAGTTCGGTTTAACGTTTAGGACTACTCCTGCCAATCCTATACGTCTTGTTATAACCTATACATTATTCACCCGTTTCTTCCAAAGCATTGCCACAATCGACCCAGTGGCATGCAGCATGCTAGCCACGGCCGAGCCCGTCTTTTCCCAGCGCCGCCGCCTGATCTTCAGAGCCAGGTTCAGATTGGAAACTGTGGCTCCAGGGTGTCGATTTGGCGACTTACAGCTCAGGGGGTGATTTCCAGATGCCAGGAATGCGGCATCAGCTCGCAACCGGGGAACCGTCGAAAGGCACAGGACCCGTACGAAGCGGATTGTAGCGAGGAGCCCTTGGGATTCCTTGCAAGCTGACTCTCCGGCCTCTCGTCGAAGGTTAGCCTGGGAACGGGCGCAGGCGCCGGGATCGAGCTTTTCGCAGCTGCTTTATTGACTCCTGCACAAGGGCTAAGCGGGCGAGCAAGTCGTCGATGGATGGATCTCACGAGATCAGCAGCATGCAGCCGATTTGCATGTCCGCAACGCTCGACATCGCTCGACCTCGTCTGATGCCTTGGAAACCCCACCTTCGCTTGGCATTTCGGCCGCTTGCAGCGACGCACCTCTCGGCGCATCTCGGCCAACTGCTGTGCTGCCTTTTGCAGCAACCTTTCGGAGTGGGCATCTTAAGGATGTCAGGTCCTGGTGAGAGCTTAATTGGCCGATTTGCTGCAGGGACTGAGGTTCGGGGTACGGCTACCTGCCTAGGTCTTTATCCAACCCGGCCTTTGTCGGAACGTTTGGGGCTCCTTTTGCGGCAGCTTTGGCCTGCGGAGCCCGAGAACTCGCCTGAGCCTCTTCAAGGGCATCGAAGTCAAACATCCATGGCTGTAGCTGCCAACGCCTGGAGCTACTCTGAGCCTGTCACGCTGCAGGTGCCGGAACAAGCAAAACAAGCTCACCAACATGAAGAAACTTCCTGGTACTGCAACAGCACTGCAGGCGCCCACTCCCGAGGACGGCGCATTGTACCCAAGACCGAGGGGCGGATCGAAAAAGGGGTGCGTCTGCGTTGCAAGAGTGTAGGTTGTCCTTGGCAGCGTGTGGGGTGATATCCAAGCGCTCTTCATGTATCTTCATGCCGCAGTCAGAACGCTCTGCATACTCTGCTGTACAGCTATTCTGAGCTGGGAGCACTCGGGTTCCATTCACCTTGGCAAACGGTCCGGAGAATCCCTCATGTCGCACCCAGTCCTCCAAGGCTTTGGACACTCTGTTAGATCGATTCTGAGACTCGGACCTCTATCGTCGGAGTTGCTAACTCTGCCCTCCTTCCCCATGAAACGGTGAGGATAAGGATGGTCGGGAGGAAAGGAGGTTCAAGGAAGCTCACAAGGCGGCTTCTACTTGGCTCCTTGTCACCCTGCCACTGATCTCGCTGATCAAGGGCAAAACTTCGAAAAAGAAGTTCAGGCCACAAAGCACCTCCAAAGCAGTCAGAGAAAATGACAGGCTGCCAGACCGGGAGTCGAAAAATCGCTTTTTTGCTGCTAGCGCTGACAGGGTGCCGCGTAAATCAGCGCGTACTTCGCCATCTCGGTCATGCCATCTCTGAGCATGATCCAGCCTCAGCCAACGCAGGTAAAAGCAGCAGCCGCAATCAGATTTCGTGATCCTGATTCTATCATTACGGTCACTGAGATAGGTATGTGATGTGTTCGTTGTGTTGTAGTTGTTGCCGGCGTATCAACACTACTGCATCTTGCTTTGATTTTTGCTTATGCTGCTGTTGATGCTGCTCCTGCTTTCTGTTCCTGCCGTTCTTGCTGCGCCGTTGCAGCTGTTGCCACCACTATTGCTACCACGACTCCTGCTCCTCCTACTCCTTGCTCCTCTCCTAGACTCCTACTCCCGTCAGGTCGGCCTGCTGCGGTGGCAACGACGACGGGGGCGACTAGAACTACGACGAATCCCCGAAAAACGATGACGACGTATGACGACGACAACAACGATTTCAAAATAGCAATCATGCTGTTACTGTTGCTGCTGATGCTGCTGCTGTAGGTCGTCATCACCATTATTGCTGCGACTGCTATCACACGCCCCAAGAGTGATTCCTGTTACCCAATTACGATGAGTGAATACTGTCGTTAATCTTCTAGCTACAGAAACTCGGCTCGGAACCGAAGCCAAGCAGTAGACCTGTCAGAAGAGCGCCAGCCTGCAGCACGGTGCTGCTGCATGGTGTGACACATGCCGGCGATCCTTTGCAAAAACCTGAACTGAGGTCTGAGACTTACGGCGATGGGAAGAAACAGCAGATCACCACCACCATCAACAACAACAAAGGAAAACAAAGCACACAAAAATCAACGAATGCCACAGAAGCCGCAGTGATGGCACCAGCTCTCGGGCTCGGACGACATCCAGCGCGACGACCTGCAAGATGAAGACCAGTGTAAAGCCGGCCATGAGGATTTTCCACAGCCACAGTTGGTCCTTGGCGACATCAACAAACCATTCGAAAGCCATTGGGCACAATGATCGGCCACCGCTCCGCCGCGCAGTCACTAAGCCGCTAAGCACTGGACAAGCACCTCTTGGGGCGGCGGACCGACGTGCAACATAAGCTCCTTGAGGCATCTTGCAAACTCAAGATACACGTGCGACTCCCGCAAGGCCATATCTATCAAGAAGATGAACTCGGACAAGTTGCAGGTGCTACGAGCATTGCTCCAGATTGCGCCGCACCTGCAAAGGTTGAAGCTGATGCACCGAACACCGGACCTGCATTCTGCAACCAGGCCGCCTGTTTCAAGGCTTCCGTGACCACCGTCCGCTGATGCCCGCGGTCATGAATCGTTCAGTTGGGCTGACATGCTTCAGGCCGGCATCTACAGCCTTGAACCTAAAGCCTGCGGCAGACCAGGAATATCAATCCGCAGCTCCATAACTGATCTCAGGAGTAACTCTGAAAAAAGAGAACGGGTTAGTTAGATGTCCAGCAAGCATGACCCTGAAGCGCTCCCGGCAAGCCATTCACACACCTTGCTAAACAAGATTGCTTTGCGAAGCAGTCGAAAACCCTTCAAGGAGGGCTCGTCCAAATCCCAGGCCCAATAAGAAAACAGTTACCCTGAAGTAACCCTTTCGGAGCTCCGCAACGGGCTTTTTGCTTTGAGCTTAAGTGGCCACTGCTGCTTGACACGTTTTAGTGTGGCATACTTGGCATAGAATTGCATACTCTGCTAGCGGTAATCAAACTGGCATGATTGCCGTGAAGATGGACATCGAACTGCTCTTCTATATCCAAATCACCCTGGACTCGTTCCATGTGACCCACGTGCTCCAACGATCAGCCCCTCATGCATACAGGGATGCAGACATGTCTTCCCCGGTTTTCCTCCAAGACCTGCCCGCAGACGCACGGCTACCTCGGCCACGCCTGGACTCACGGCAAGCATGGCTTTATGCCCACCTGAAGGAAAAGAGCCCAAAGACGCTTTGCGGGGTTCTCAAAATGAGGGTCCTCTTTCAGAAGTCCTGCAATTCCGATTTGCTGAGAAGACCCTCATTTTGATCTGAAGGGCCATGTCCTTTGGACCGGTAGCCGCTCCCTCTGTCGTTAACCAGGTTGTGCTGCAGGCGCTTTCGCGGCAGCTGCTGGTTCATCTAGCTAGTTCTAGTGTGTCAGGATTCTATACATTTCACTGTTGTATCAAGCTTGGCCAAGCTCCGGACACGCCGATCTGTGTACAAGCGTTGAGCTGCACACTCTGTCCCTTTCGTGCGCCCCGCCGATTTCTATCAGGTGACTCCCGAGTCGACTTCTGCAAAAACATGCGTGGGGGGTGCAAGAGGAGGCGAGTCTTGCAGTCTCAGCAACGTGTGTCAAAAGAAGCTCGCGTGAACGAGACCCTGGAACGAGCTCCACACCATCCCGGTTGAACCGCTTGAACTGCATAGTGGAGTGCCCTTGAGTCTTCCAACAGCCAGCGCACGCTCAGTGGTGAGCTCGAAAAAACGCATGGCCTTGCACATTGTCGGTGATTCTCAGACACAGCTGTCGGAGGCTGCCCGGAGCCAAGTGGCCTTCCTTCAGCTGTAAACTGGTCGTCTCCTCGTTGCACCTCCAGCGACCACGCAACTTGCTGGTCTGAGGCATGACGCTCCCGACACCTCCCTGGCCTGGCCTGACAACTCTCTCGCGCCCCGCGCTGATGCCTTCTGCCAAGGGCTCAATCCAGGAGCAGAGCGTCAGGAAACAACAGGGCGCGATGCATCAGTTTGGGGTTCAGCAAGCAAAACAGCGACAATCGCGAACCCAGCTAAGCTGGGTGCTGTGAAGGTATGTATGCGATCACAAATAGCCGTGGACAGTCATTGACAATAATGCAGCGGGATGCAGGCTGTCGCGGCGAGGGCTTGGCCAAGTTTGACAAGACCAGGCTCGGTGTGGGCTGGCCGAGGCCTTCTGGTGCTACTTTCCCGTCGAAGACCTGAGGAAGGAGTCCGTCATTGTCAGCTGCCAGGAGCTAAGACCTCACCATATCTTTTCCAGCAGTACACTGCGCTTCCAGCAGTACACTGCGCGGACTGAATACCGAAATAAAGAGCTATAACTGTGATTGTCATTCTTGCCATGGACTATCTTACAGATCCGTCAACTGAAGACCCTTCAAGAGCGCCTTGATGCTGCCACGCCGGGACGTGGAGATCGCCGGCGGGGGCTTGCGCATCTCTAGAACATAGCCAAAGCCGGTCATCGCTTCTGCATCCTGCCCGACTTGATGGTTTCTCGATGAACCGGTGCTGTCGTTGTAAGACCCTACACCCGTGACCTCAGGCTTCAATGCTCTTATCCTGGCATTCTGCCTCGTCGTCAGGCTCGGGGCTTGGGCTTGCCACGATGCCTCCTGGCAGCAACTTCGAGCTTTGAACCCCCCCCCCTCGCCCAAAAATATACTTCTTGGCATTCCAGAACCTATGGGCCACTGTCATGACTCGTATTCTCCGTGCTCTCGGCTCGAGTCTTCGACTAGTGCAAGACAAGGCTTGGTGGCATGAGTGCGCCCCTTAATTGTGGCATGGCGTGGCTGCTCTCCGCAGAATAAAAAACAACGCCATAGCTCGCCTTCCTGTTGAATACGGGCCGGCTCCGCCAATGAGCTCCTCCTCGAGTGCTCCCACTGTTGGCCACTGGGCATCAGCCTCGCTGGCTGTCACCTTGGCCTGGAGGGGTCTTGGCGTGGGCGGCTGCCCTCTGGCAACTTGAAGTCGGAGCCGTTCTGGCCGAATGATTTTTTGAGTTTGCAACTTATCGACTCTAGGACAAGTTGAGATCTGGCTTGGGCTTTGGTCGAATCGAGGCTCCCATTTCGGGGAGGCGGCTTCTTGACTCCTGTCCCGCCTGGGCAGACGGGTTGGAGCCTGCCTCCTCTTCAATCGATGCTATGGAGAGCTTGGCCGCAGAGCTTTGGTATGAGAGCGTAGTGCCAGATGCATTCTTGAGGAGATCCGTCTGCGAGGTATACGGCGAGAAGCCGGCCTAGAAACATGGCACCAGTCGTAACTGACATGGCTGTGATTAGAAGTTCTGGTTGCGGCCCCGAGGCTGTAGAGTTGGCCGAGTCGGTTTTGGCCGAGAAGAAAGTGATGCGAGAGCTGTCGTGGGACAGAAAGCCGGTTGTCTGCGTGCGAGCCGCCGACAGCAGCCTGGCTTCTGACTTTCCTCGGCTCGCACAACGCTGACAGAAGCCTGGACAGTTTGTGCCGACCCTCAAGAGCGACAATCGGCTAGAACCACCCTTGTCGCAAGGCAAGGCCATGTGTGCTCAGCTTCGGAAATGGGACAAGTCGGGCTCGTCCAATGAGCGCATTGCCTGCAGAGATGAGATCAGCATGGCATGCGAGACGTCACCACTGAAAGTGCCGAACTGACAAGCCGCACCGACGTTCAACGAATCGGAGACCTAATTCTGTTGAAGATGCCCCGATGCCTTCATCTCATGTCATCCAATCATCTCACACCACTGCAGACACTTAAAACAGTCTACCTGTCAGACCTCGCCTACTGGCTCAGATTCCGTGTATGCGAACAGTCGCGCGGTGTGACCTGGATCGCCGCGGCGGTCAAGGCCAGGCTTGCCCCGTTGTCCAGCGAGGCGGCGGCGAAGTTCTTGGAGGTTCCGGGGCTCTCCGGGTATCGTCTTCAAGCTTGTTTCTGTCAGCGGTTAGTTCGAGGCCAAAACGGGAAGCTTTTTTGGCTGAGACCTGGAGTCGCGACTCAAACACTTGGATGTCGTGGACAATAACCTCTTGCGATCGTATGCGGCTGGCAGACAAGTCCAGTGCTGGATTTACCCATCCACTGATGCACAAGTTTCACAAAATTGCAGTTTAGCTGCTGGCAGAAGAACTTGCGGGACATCCTGCAGTGCCTTCGCCTCGCTGTTGATGCCGTCATCGACACCGTTCTCAGGGGCCGCTGGTGCCTGTCTTAACGTAGCCATGGGGTCGAAGTTAGCTGGGCGAGTCCGAAGCCTCAGTGGATTTTGGAAAGACCCCTTCCCCTTCATGTCGGTTTTCTGAACCCTCAATGAACATACTGCCACCTCGGGCTGGCATCCACAACAAACTCTCGTGTCGACACAAAAGCCATACCACCTGCCGGGCGCGCTGGCCTCATGGAGCGTCTGGATGGAGTTGTTTTCTTCCGTCTTCGACACTGTCTCATTGCTGGCTTTATCCACTTTCTGCACTTTGGGTCTGGGTTTCGTCGCTGGCGCTGTCGGAGCGGTGATGCCTGCGCAGCCACGTGGCGGACGGAAACTGGTTCATGGGCAGTCATACCGGAGTCATACCCATGTCTGCGGCTGGCACTGCATTCAAACGGGCTTGGCCTGCTAGACTCTACAGCGAACAACGGCGAGTGAGGAAAAAAAGGTGTTGTCTTGCCAAGTCGCTCTCAGGTGGTGGAGGCGGCGGCTCCAACTCCCTGACTATCTGTGTCTTTTTGACGTTCGACTGGCCTCGGAAATCAATCTTTGCTTATGTCTGTTGCAAAAGAATAGACAAGAAAAAGAAACAACATCAATAGAGCCAATAGTGGAAAGTCACACGCCTACTGCTCCACCCTGACCACGTTTCACCACCACCACCATCACCACCACGATTACTCCTACTGCTCCTATTCCAAATGCTACTACTCTCCTACTCGCACTCCTAGACCTGCCGCCACTTCACCCCTACCGCTACCGCTACGGCGGCTACGGCTACTGCTACAGATACTTCTACTTCTGCAGCATCGGTCGTGCTGCGTGTCCACGCCGGTTAGCCGAATGCGCCGCAAGGTTTGTACCAGGCTGTCGAGACTGAGCTCGCGATTATAGACGGGGCTGCCCAGAAGCGCGGAAAAGCGTTGCAGGTCGTCAGTTGCATTGCCGACGACTGTCTATCAGGCCGGTCTTGAGCTGACACAGCGCTGCCAGTGGCACTTCTTGCAACGCTTCCCAGCCAAGCAGGACGTCCGGCATGAAGTAGCGTCGTTGAAAGGCGTCCTGGAACTGCTGAAAAGGAAACCAGTTGGCGCCTGATCTCTTCCGCCCAAGGTCCACAGCTTCGGCTGTGCTTGCACCGGCTGAAGCAGGACGCCGCAGAGTCGACCGGCACTTTCGCGGTGCCATTAGTGCAGTGGAAGTCAAGTATTCATCTTCGTCTGCATGTTTTCTGTCTAAACGGCAAAGTCGTAGAGCTCTACTGTGTTTGGCTAGTGTACGTCCTGTCAAGAAAACACGCAGCAGCTTGTTTTCTAGAGCAGAGCATGTGCTTCCGAGATTGACAAGAATAGGTGGATTTGGGATGTACAGGACAGATAGTGGCAAGCCGCAGAAACATCAGTCACGCAGGCTTCTTCTGCATCATACATGGCGTGCACCGCCATAGAAGACCCTGCTGGAAATTGGATGTGCGCCAAAAACAGGGACCATGCTGTAGCAAACGGAATGCTATCAGGCAGATCAAGCTCGGCACGCTCTTGCAACAAAGCGCAGTGAAGACCAAGGTGCAGAAGTGCATCGAAGGGAACATGATACGAAGTGGTGCCACGATAAACATCCAGACCAGAATACGATTTCATACCGTCGATGTGCGCGAGCAGCTGCTCGCTTGTCCAAGCCGTCACGCTTGGCGAGAGCAAAAAAAGCCTGAGCCCGCAAGCTCGCACCGAACTTGTCCAACGCAGGAACAGACCAAGAAAAACGCATGCGACAAACAGTTTCAAGGATGAGCACGCGATCCACATAAGGCGAATGTCGCCGTGACGCCAGCAACGTGCAAAGGCATCTCAAAGACTGCCAAACGTATCCGAATGCAACAGGCGACAGTAGCTGACTGCTTACCGCTGGGTGTCTCCCAAGCAGAAACAAGAGAACCCACACGCGATCATCCACAATAAGAACTTCCGAGGAATGTCGTCGAGTACCATACTGAAATGAATAGGAAACCATGCTGCCAGGCAAACCGTACCAAACTACGGAGCATAACTAGGCAAAAAAAGACTCGAACTGAAGCATTCGAATGTGTTTCTCTAGCTGTATTTAGGCGCAGGATAAGAGTTGGACTGAAACATGCGAATGTGGTTCTCTAGCCATGCTCATCTTCAACTGCAATGTGATACTGATGGATACGCCAAACCCTGCAGAATAAATTGGCAAGCATGCTGCAATGCCGATCAGTCACATCTAAGCACAATCACGGCAAGCACAAGAGCTCAACTCGCAAGCACAACAGCTCAACTCGTTGAAACCCAAAACCACCAGAGCGCAGGGGGCCCTCCCCTCCTAATCGAAAGGCTGGAATATCGACCCCCCATGCGACCCTAAAAGTCTTTGAGATATCGGACAAAAGGGGGCCTCCGAGCTGGTTTCTCCAACGAAGAAGCTGTAAACAAGAACTCCCGCAAGCTCCAAGGAGCTAGTTTTCGTGATAAATTTCATGTGAATCATCTTCATCTTCTTACTGTTCGATATTCTTCATCATCTTCATCCTCATCCTCATCCTCATCCTAAATCTCATCCTCATCCTCATCCTCATCCTCATCCTCATCCTCATCCTCATCCTCATCCTCATCCTCATCCTCATCGTCATCATCATGACGATGACTCTCATCTACAGCACCCCTAAACCCTGAAACCCTTAACCCTAAACCCTGAAACCCTAAACCCTAAACCCTAAACCCTGAAACCCTAAACCCTAAACCCTGAAACCCCATGGCCGTTTCCGAGTCCTGGGGCCCCAGGCCGCTGTCGCGACGCTGGGGTGGCGGCGAGGGGGCCTCCGATCGAAGTCGCAGCACGGCCTGGACAGCCAGGGTACCTTCGCCCGGGTTCTCTAAGCAGGGTTTAGGGTTTAGGGTTTAGGGTTTGGGGTTTAGGGTTTAAGTTTAGGGTTTGGGGTTTAGGGTTTAGGGTATGGTACAGTATACTATACAGTTTGCAATAGGACGATGTCGGTTTAGAGTGTATGGTTCTGCTTGCAGTCCAGAGTATTTTGTGGGTGCCAGCGTGATAGTGGTGTCGAGCTTCAGTTGCACTGTGAAAGGGGCTGACTGCGTCATATTCGTTGCTCGTCGACTGAACCATGAAATGCCATGAGCTGGAATGCAGCCAGGGCCGGCCATCTTCATGAATATGTCGTCGTGAGTGGCTTACGATACGTAGCTACATATTGCACGAGAAGGCGATCGCACGAGGCAGAATACCACTAACCAGACGAGGGCGCCACTGCGCAGCAGCGCTTTCTACAAATCCGGATCGAAGCTTGAGTTGCTTGCTTGCTCAGTGGCATCCTATCCCAAGCCATGGCAGGAGAACATGACTGCATTCCACAGTGGCAGAGATGAAATCTGCTACTCTGCTTAAGTATTTATGCTGTGTAAGGTCTCGAAGGCCAGGCTTCCAAGAAGAGTGCGACTCACCCAATGCTACGCTTTACGATGCGGGACCGTGAGGAGACTTCGTGCCGGCAGAAATCTCCGAATCAGAGGCTTAGGGGATGTCCTCGTGACGTTCCATTGAATTCTCTCTCTCACACACACACACACACACGCTTGCAAACAAGAGACCCAATTTCCACCTCTTCTTCGCCGGCCTTGGAGGGGTCCGCATACAGCTGAGAGGCTCTTGGGAGTACAGCGTTCGGATCTGGAAGCACCGCCATGCAGAGGCAAGGGTTGAGGTTCTGTTCGGCTGGAAAAAACCAAGGGACTGCTACGATCTTTGCTAACAAACAATCCTACAACCCCCGAAACATCAAGCCCTAAGCACCAAAGACCCAACGACCCAAATGGCACACGCCCCTGCGCACGCGATCAAGACTATCAACCGTTCACCGAGTCCTGGGACTGTCCTGTGGCCCTGGAACCCTACGTTGACGATCTTTTTGAGTTAGCAGGCAGGGAGACCAAGATGGGTTTTGGGACTTTTATAGTATATTAAAGGCCACCTTAGGCTATACTCAGTAGACCTACCAAGACCAAACAAAAAGCGTTCACGTAAGTATAGGTTCACTTGCTGTCCAAGCCAAGCACGCCGAGCGTCTCAGTCTGAGACTGGGAAGTCGACTCCGTCGACTCGATCAGGACAGGAGCTTCTCCGGACTCACCAGGATCTGGCAAATCCGAGACTCCTGTGGGTTGTTCTCTGATTGGTTGCCGCAAACAAATGTCATGCCCCTAAGACCCGCCACCGAGAAGTTTCCACATGCCGAGAAGTCAGAGTTCCTGTAGCGGTTGAAAAGAGTGAGCTAGTTGGTTGCCACCCCGCCACTGCTACAGTCGGGACGACACGGACACCACCATCAATGTATGCTCCGCCATCTGCCATCTTCAGTAGCAAAGCTAAGACTGCAGTTCTCACCGCGACTTTCCTAGCAGATAGCACATCTCAAGAATCCTCCAAGCCCCTCTCGAGGCTGACGCTAATTCATCACTGATTCACCGAGTCGTGTTCCTCACACTTCCGCAACCTTCCCTCGTAACCGACCCGGGCTCCCGAAGTTGGAAGCTGTGGAGCCGGAACATCGCCATCTTGCATACGAAAAGATCTGCCTCAAGGCAGTAGTCAGTAGTCTGTGCGGTTTGGACTGAAGGCTGTGGATATGCATTTACCGGCGACTGCGATTTCAACAGGTTGCAGCTAAGGCACTTTGGAACAGGGCCTTTTTGCCCGCAGATGCAACGACGTACCGCTTGTTAACGGCCGTCTTGGACGCATTTCGGGCCAGGGAGAAGTTGTCCTTCGGATCTGCCTCCTCGTTTACCTCGACCTTCACCTTCTCACTATCGCTCGGCTTGGTTTCTGCCTCCAGGATCTCTTCCTGGGCTTCTGGCTCCTCAGCCTCACACCAGGCTGCGAAGATCGTAATTAAGGAGGGAGTAACATCCCAAGATGCTCTACTCAAGAACACTGCTGGCAGCCTCCTCAGGACCTTCTCCATCGGCCTCTGCTTCTGCAAGTACGGCGGCCACGATTGCTGAGTCCACCTCTGGCACTCCCACGGCGGCTTTGCCGGGCCTGGCCCAAGATCACTGAGAAGTGTCATACTGCAGTAAATCAGAACTTCTGTAAAGGCCGATTGAAAAAGCATGCACACACACACACACACTGTTGAGGCTCTCGCGTTAACGAACTACGACAGTGCAAGCAGCTGCGGACTCATGATGCAATGACATCATGCTCAGTTATACCAACATCGCATGTACTCTCTGTCTGTCTATATACATACATACATACATGCATACATACATACATACATACATACATACATACATAGGTACATACATACGTACATACATACATACTTACATACTTACCTGCATGCATGCATGCATGCATGCATGCATGCATACATACATACATACATACAATGCATACATACATGCATGCAATGCAATGCAATGCAATGCAATGCAATGCAATGCAATGCAATGCAATGCAATACAATACAACACAATACAGTACAATACAATACAGACACACATGCACACACACACACATACATACATACATACATACATACATACATACATACATACATACATACATACATGCATACATACATGCATACGTACATACAATACCGTACAATACAATACATTACGTTACAGTATTGCATTACGATACAATACACTACGTTACAATACAATACAATGCATTATACGATAATACAACACAATACATTACATTACATGCATACATACACACACACACACATACATACATACATACATACATACATACATACATACATACATACATACACACATACACACACATGTATCTATTTTATTTGTACATACCTACATACACATACACATGCATATACATANNTATTACTTATATATATATACACACACGTGATTGTCGTGCATGTAGATACCGTTCCTGGCATAGCATGCCGTACCAACATACCATAACCTACCCTGCGCGACCCGACCCTAACATGCAATACACTAGAGTGCAATGCAGGACAGGATAAGACAAGATAAGAAACAACACACATCCATGCGCGCAAGCATGGCATACTTACTCACTTGCGGACAGACAGACGGCCAGACAGACACACAGACACAGACAGAGAGACAGCAGACATCAACACCCTTCCATAAACGGAACAGCTTCCCGCACCTCGAGTCCTCCTGTGGACGACGAGCTCCTTTTCCACCCTGCAACAGCCACTGCTGCTACCATGACTACGACTGCTGCCGTTAATTCTTGCGCCTGACTGTCTAACTGAAATCATCAGGGTGGATCTTCGCTTGCGCGGAGTGCGAGTCTATGACTGATGGGTTGGGGTGCTGCTCATGCTAGCTAGGGCTCCCAACAGGCTCCCAACAGGCAGAAGACGCCTATTTCCTGCCGGAAGCACCTCGTTTATGTTGTCCTATGCCATCCGACACTCAATTTTTTTTCTGGCCGTGCCTTGCCGGAGCCCTGTGCGCTAGAGCGGGGCTTGCCCCGGCGTGGCTTGAGCGCGGAGCGGTGTGGCATCCGGTCGGCCTGTGCAAATCAGATTACTTCGGGTTTAAGGTTTCTCGTCGTATTGCAGAAAACAGACGGTCCTTTGCAAACAAGGATGCTGGTCGCTTTAGGTTTGTTGGTCCCAACGTATGCATGGACGGAGCTCCTTCCAACAGCATTGTCCGCAAACAGGGACGATCCGATGTTTCGTCTCTTCCAAGGCTTCAAAACTCAATCGTACTCTAACTTCCTAAGCCACAGAATCCGAAACCCTGGAGCCCTTAAACCCAGAGCAAAACCCTCCCTCCCTCCCTCCCTCTGAAAACCTGGTCGCCAGCGCCACTCGTCAAGAGGTCACCCTTGAGCTCGAAGCGGGTCATGAAGGGCTGCTTTGTCTGGTTGCCTGGCTTCGGAGTCTTAGGTGCCAGGACGCTTTTGCAGGCTTCTCTCAGGATTCAGGATCTGGTGCTTTTACATAGAGATCCTGGGCTGCACTCCACCTGGGATATCACGCAGGCGGCCTAGTTCGCTGCCTCCTCGCTGACTTGGGCCTGTGTGAAGCTTGCGGGAAGCTTGCTGCTTCTTGGGATGATGAGTGGTTATAGCCCGAATGGCCAACAATGGACTTCATTTGAAATCAACGCCTTGGAAAGAGCCACTGACTCCTCGGTAATCACGCCGATACATCCATCGTCGTCTGCATCCATCTACTTGCGCGACCGATGCTTTCTATATACAAAGGGGGTGAACTGAACCGTGGATAGGGTTGGGAAGTAGGACAATTATTTTGATCGTCAAAAGCTTGCCGTGAATCTTGCGGGGAGCCACCTCCTTGTTTCTGCACCATCGCGTCACATGGCCGCGTCATATGGCCGCGTAACATCCGGTCTTGACTCGCCATAGGGTTGCAGATCCCCAAACACGGCCCTTGATGCCCGGAAACCTGGTGGCAAGTCTGCTGCCGGACCCTGTCCCATGTGCCTGAGGCAGACTGGCCAGCCCAGTTGTTGTGACGGCTGCTTGATTCCTGCGGCATAGCAGAGAGCTCGGGGAGCCGTTTATGTCTTTCTACAGAGAGAGAGAGACAGAGGCAGAGACAGAGACGGTGACAGAGACTGGCACGGAGGCAAAGATAGAAACGACATGTGTGTATTCGTGGGTATACCGGTACGTACACGTAAAAGTATACACACACATACGTTATGCGTTCACATACCTATACACATGAACATAGGCGTGGTATCTACATCGATGCGACTGCTCATCTGCATGTACATGCTTGCATGCACACATACAGCTGAAGGTTTAGATGGCGTTAGTGGTTAGATGGCGTCAGTAGATGGTCTGGTGACTCGTGTGTGTAAAACATTATATACAGATACATATCTATATATATATATATGTGACAGTATGCATGTATGAATGAAGTTTATCCCCTGTACCTTTATACGTTTCCAAGTTGTCTTGCTATAAGACTGTCAATGCTTGTGTGCTGGTGTGTTCCCATGGCGTATATAGAGACTTTCTGCTCTTCAAACTGAAGCATGCCTCGAGCTGTTTCTTTGTGCGTCTCTGACCACGGAGTGAACCGCATCATAACCTTACCTAAACCTTTGTTTCAAGACTGAAACGTTACTCGACTCTAGACGCTGCATCCCAGGCAATGATCATCATCCAAGCACCAGGCCTGACTACCGCTCTTTCCCAGCCTGCGCATCCAGCAGCACGAGCGCTTCGCCATGCCGAGGGTCCTGTCGGCTCGGATACACAACAGCTTTCAGCTGTAGGGTTTATGGATTTGTCACATTTAAGCGTAGCGGTTCAGGATGGCTCAGGGTTTTAAATTGAAGGGTTTAGGGTTCATGGGCTAGACTTGTTAGATCGGTTTTTGTCCATCTGTACCCTTTTGTGTCCGAAGTGAAAGTTGGGCGGATACCCTATGTAACAGCGTGGGGGCAACGGCTCTACTACAAGGCAGCAATACTGGCTTGACACCTTATGAGTCAACTGCAGAGGTTCCAACCTACCAAACAGCGCTTCCTCAGGCCGATTCAGCACACTTTCTGCACAGCTCTTCGTGACTGGGTGCTCCTTTGCAGGCTGCCTTTCGATGGTGCGGACGGGCACGTCTGCCGACAGCTGCCTGCGCCGCCTCGGTCACGGAGTGAGTCGATATCTGGCGCTCACAACTCACAACGGTCGTGCTAGTAGCGGAAGCTTGGAAACCACACCGCCTTCCTGCTGCTGGCAGGCAACCACCCAGAGAGCCAGCACTAGTGATCAAAACAGCGCATCAACTCCCACAACCTTCCCTGCTGTCCAAAGCTACTTGGGCTCGTCCTCGGTATGCAGCTCGCTAACATCATCCTGAGCAAGCACCCCCTGCATGCCGGATAAGGCTTGGCTCATTTTGAAGTAGATCCCACCTCTGTGCTGTTCCTGAATACGGTGCGGGCAATGTCGCTCCTTCGATAATTTGGTAAACTCCCATCCTCCACAACGCATTTTGGCGCTATCAAAACTTGCCACTGAAACTGGAACCGATCAACCCGAATGACTATGTTCTTGAACTCCCGCCTGCATCAACTCTTGAGAGACGCGCGGTGATAGCTGCGCCACGGACAGGATCGGCATATCCTCGGCCTCCACCAGGGCAGTGCTATCAAGCGCACAGTAAGTAACAGTAGCTAGTCACGGTATTTGTGGACTTGAGGACATGTGACGTCCATCGGAGAAGCATGCGCGTTCACTCATGCTGCCAGAAGCCAGGCTAAGCCTCAGGACGCGAAGATACTTATACTGATATAGATGATGGTGATGATGGTGGCGATGACGATGAGGACGATGAGGATGATCATAATGATAGTGTCATGATTCATGATCATGATGATGAGGAGGAGGAGCATGAGGACAGTGATGACCGACGATGGTGGTGGTCGTGGTGACAGCATGAATTCGGAGCACAAACCAATGCAGTCCTGACAACCAGAGAAACACATCCGGCGCCGTGAAGGCCGTCATAAAGCTGGGACTGACAACAGCCAACAACGAAATGACACGACCACAAGGAAGCCTACCGGCTCCTCCGCCGCCGCCGGAGTGTTGAGACAGCTCTTTGTGTCAACAGTCGAATGGTCGAATCTAAACTCGCATGTCGTTGTTATCGTTTCGTCGAGGTGGTCGTGGTCGTAATGGTCATCGGGATTGTCGTCTTACTTGTACTCGTCTTCGTCCACGTCTATTATCTGGTGCTGGCAGGGGCGGTGGCATGTGGCAATGGCGGTGCTGGTAGCGGTGGTAGTCGTGGTGGCGGCGGCAGTGTCTGGCGGTGGCGGGTCTGGGTGAGGGTTGCAAGGCGACCCTGGGCGCGGTGTGGGTGGAGCGGGACAGCGACGAGGATGGCGTCGGTATGGTCGTGGCGGTGGTGGGTGGTGCTGGTTTGGTGATGATTGTGGCGGTACTCGTAGTGGCAGCTTTGCTGCCGTCTTCATACTTGTCACAGCTAAGAGAATCTGAGGTACGAAAAGTGTTCCGTCGACAGGTCGCCCGAACCGCACATCCCCACAGAAACCTCCCTGAACCACCAAGCACACCTGAAACTCAGCCTGAAACCCATGATCGGGCAGCCTCGACTCCATGCGTGCCCGAGCGCGGCAGCAAACGGCCAGGTTTTGCCAGCGTGAGGCTGGCTGTGGCTGTCTTGATGGCCTGCCGAAAAGGGCGGCTTAGGGATCAACGTCTCAACTCAAGTTCCGTGAAGTTTGACTAGCTAATGTCGAACATCCAACGTTTCTGTTGCGCCATTTTCCACTAAGTACGATCCTGTCCAGAAACTCATGCCTCTCTGCCTGCATTTCATTCGATGAACCTGATCTCTTCCACTTCTCTCCTTTATGGCTCTCAGCGTGATATTGGAACTGCGAAGGTCTCCTGCGGGGAATGCGTTTTAACAAGTTTGTCGTCGAACTGCTTGCGCATCCGGCTTCAGCCTTTGAGCTCTTATCCTAGGTCATTGTGATTTCGGTGCGTTCTCCTCCAGAGCAGAAGCTCTTGTTGTCCGCTGAACCATTGTGCTCGCACATCTCAGCAGCATTCTCGAAAGAAGCGATGCGACTGAGTGGACTTCATTGGAGGAATACACGACCAAGTGCACTGTGCGCGTAATCTTTCTGATGGGAAAAAGTAGAACACCTGACCACGCACCTCTTAGTATGCGCGTGCGGGTGTAGGCCTACCTTGCTTAATTTCAACTTCCGAGCGGTAAGTTGGCATCCTGAGAGCCTGAGAAACGAACGCATCCCGCTATCGGAGGCGGCGCGTCACGCCAGTTTGTCGGGTGTCCGTGGCCGCAGGCCACAGCCAGGCAGTCCAAAGGCCGCCGGCCGCGGGGCCCGGAAGCTTGGCACACGGCAAGCGCCGCCGCAGGCACGTTCCCACACATTCAAAGGCCTTAAATGGCCTTAACGTCGCTCCGGGGATCGAGAGCGAAAAGCGAAAAGCTGCAGCCGGGCAAGCAGAATCGGCTACAGGGCGCAACCGTTTCGTCCGCTCACGCGCAAGTACACGCATAACAGCACGCTGCCCAACAACTCCCTGGAAAAAGCAGAAGCATTTATGCACTCGGGCTTGAGTGGCTTTTGAGGAAACGGGCAGTGCAGCCTTCCATGATAGCAGACTTGTTTGTGAAATCCGCCTGGTCGTCTGTGTCGTTGAGCCAGCCGAGGTCGTCTTCCAGCTCAATGTTGCCTATGGACATCTTCTTTGGCAGCCGGCCTTTGCAGGCGAGATGATTTGGCAGTTGATCGAGCAACTGTGTGTATGCTGTCGTCTGTGGCACAGCATACTTGCTCAGAGGCTTGGGGTCCTACCATACAGGGCCTCCTGGTGTACTGACAAGCGTGAGAAGTGGAGTGTTCCATAATAACAGGGTTCAAATTAAAATGTTGACATGCAGTAGCGCAGTCTCTCGGTGCAAGGTTGGTCTATCCAGTGGCGGAGCAGCTCTCGGGACTCGAAGCTCAGACTGCCAGCAGTGGAAATCGCAAGTACCGACAGTCCTTGCCCCCGGGATCACATGCGTGCGCTACGCGGCAGATTGCCCCCAGCTGTCAAGCCCAGCAGGGCAAAATTTAGGACCAATTATCCTGCCTGAAACGGCCTTGCCAGCCCAGGCGTTGCGGCTGGTTGTCGCCTTGGTTTGGCATCACGGACACCCTGCTAGCAGGAATGGGCCCCAAAAGGCTGTGAAACTAGTCGAGCAAAAACCCATCCTGGCAGTCTAGTAACCGGATAATGCCAATAATAGTAACAATGGTACAGTCATAACAATGCTACGCATGACAATAACGAGAAGAATACGACCAGTGATAGTAGTAAGATTCAGCCTCCCTAGAACCAACAGGACACCGAAGCCTTCCGAGCCTCAAGTCACTACAATCGCCAGGTGTTCGCACGGAAACTTACATTGCAGGAAGGGTGCCTCTGCATCCAACGTCAAGATCGCCTCGTTGAACTTCGGCTCCTCTGTAATCGCATCCTGGGGGCAGGAAACTATGAACAGCCAAGCCACTTGCCCCCTGAAAGACCACAGCTTGAGAAAAGTCTACTCTTCGTCGCTTTTTGCAGGTCCGTTTGCAATCGCCAATGCATGCAGGACCCAGCCGAATTCCGATTTCTGGGCTCTTGATCCTTGTCTGCAGAAACTGCCCCAAATCCAACCCTTGAGCAATCAAGTGCACAACTCCAAATCTACGGCTACGTACACTCGCAGAACCGCCGCTCCCCGGCAAAAACGTTGACGTTGCTCGGCACCGGTGACGGTGACGTGGCCGTGACCTGTGCGCCATCCGCTGCCGGCTGCTTGGGCAGCCTTCGCAGCGTTTTAGACCGTGCTAGTGGCAGCCTGTACATAAGAGTTCGATGTCATAGAGAATGCATTATGGTATTGTAGTACCGAGACATGATACATCCATGCATGCTGCGAGGCCGTTGGGTCGACGCTTTGATGCTGAAGCAATTCTACTTTCTACTTTCTTTTCTGATCCCATCCAACTTCACAGTGTGGTCACGAGGTGCGAGCAGAAGTCGTTGCTGTGTCTCAGCTACATGCTAACACAAAGGAAAGATTGAAAACGACGGGGCCTCTGCCAGCATAATACTAGGACAGTACGGGAGGGATCACAGGAAGACTGAGTCATCCAAGCAGCCAGGCAGGCACTCAGTGCTCACATGACTGCAGAAGATGGAACAGCCGTTGCCACAGCCCATAGGCGTCTGCACGCATGTAGCGCTGTCCGCATGTTTGCGTTTGCAAACGTCGCCGCTTCTTCACCATTCATTCGTAGAGAGGGACAGACACAAAGAGAGACGGGAGAGAGGGATTAGATGATAGAGAGAGAGAGAGGGTGAGAGACAGATAGACAGAGAGTAACTATGGCATGATGAGCCGACGAAGATGATGGTGATTCTGATTCGACTTCTATCTGATACATCGATGATCCACACGATTGCTACCTTGCGCAATCTCGTCTACAGTCTGCGGTCCAAAGGACTGATGCACTGTTCCTTCAGCAAGCGGAATTACCTGGCCTGCGCTGTGGCGAGCGCGATGAATGCAGCGAGCGCGTGGACAAGGGGCTGACAGGGCTGGCTGACCTTAGGTGGCGACACCATGCTCAGGTGCGACTCAAAGCCGACAAGCACGTATGCACACGATGCGCACACGCACACACACACACACACACAAAAACACATAATTGGGATAGACAGATAGACAGATAGATAGATAGATAGATAGATAGATAGATGGACAGACAGATAGACCGAAAGATATATAGATACACTTATCTGAATATTTTAAAGCCTCGCGATACCGTACCGGGTGTGCCCCAGTCATCCTCAACTCGAGTTCCCGGACCTCTAGATCCTTCCCTGAACCCTAAACCCTGAACCCCTAAACCCCCTAAACCCTAAAGCCCTGAACCCTAAACCCTAAACCCTACACCCCTAACCCCTAAACCCCACACCCCTAAAGCCGAAACCCTAACCCCTAAAGCCCTAAA